AAACTGGTTAAGATAATAGGCACAGTTGAGGGTAGGAACAGCAAACTGAAAATAGTGGGATTGTAAGACAAAGTGTTCATTCTGAATGTTGAGACTCCAAGCTCTTTTTCCCCACCAGAAGACTATCCCCCAGGTTTATACCTTCTGGCAGTAGATTAGAAGAGCCTTCTTTTGGGGAATCTCAATAGCCCAACAGAAAAGACCTTAAGGGGCAGACAACAGAGTTTACAGTCCCCACCCCAAACAACCAAACCACATCAATCTGCAGTATAGCTGATAAGCCTCATCCACCTGCACAGAACTTTCATTCAGCCTTTTAGTGTCATACTCTTAACCACGATTGGGTAGCCAAAGCTCATCAGAAATTTGAGGAGCCCTTTACTATGACAGAGACTAAAACCAGAAGATAATGAAGCAATGATTTCATAATTCTTATGGCAAAATGATTTCCAATTTAGAATTTTATGCCTAAACTATTCATGAAGATATTCAATTTTCAAACTCTTTAAAGGTGAATGTATTCTCAAAGAATATATTTTCTATTGACCCTCAGAAGCTACTGATGGCGGTAGAGACCCATCAGAAACCACCTTAGCCATGTAATCAAGGACAACATTGCCAGTAATAAGACATATCAACGTTGTGAACCTCGTATAATAATGTACCAAGAACACATTATTTCTGTAATATTCTTGCCAAAACTACATAACCTCAATCCAATCATGAAAAAATAACAGAGATATTCAATAAAATAACTGACCCGTACTCATGAAGTGCCAAGATCATGAAATACACAGAAAAACTGAGGAATTGTTATAGGAGACAAAGGAGACTAAGGAGAATTAACAAATGCAATATGGGATCCTAAATAGGATCCTGCAACAGATCAAGGACATTAGTGGAAGACTGATAAGACTTCCAATAAGGTGTTTAGTTAATAGCATTAAACCGATATTAATTTCTTGGTTTTGATAATTATATCATGGTTATATAAGACATTAATATAAGGAGAAGCTAGATGAGAGACACAAGAAAACTCTATTATTTAGGCAACTTTTCCTTAAGTCTACAATTGGTTCAAAATAAAAAGTTAAAAAGAGGCCGGGCGCAGTGGCTCACGCCTGTAATCCTAGCTCTCTGGGAGGCCGAGGCGGGCGGATTGCTCCAGGTTGGGAGTTCGAAACCAGCCTGAGCAAGAGCGAGACCCCATCTCTACTATAAATAGAAAGAAACTAATTGGCCAACTAATATATATAGAAAAAATTAGCCGGGCATGGTGGCTCATGCCTGTAGTCCCAGCTACTTGGGAGGCTGAGACAGAAGGATCGCTTAAGCCCAGGAGTTTGAGGTTGCTGTGAGCTAGGCTGACGCCACGGCACTCACTCTAGCCTAGGCAACAAAGCGAGACTCTGTCTCAAAAAAAAAAAAAAAGTTAAAAAGAAAGAAATTCAGAGACAGTCCAAGGAAAATGGTGAGAAAGCACACAAGCAACAGCAAGAGTGATTGCTACAAATAGATAAATAATTACAAGTTTCAGGGATAAGGAAAGAGGAACAGAAATAGCCCTATACACATCCAGGGAGAATCCATCTAAGTAATCTCCTAGAATGGCGTGGCTTTTAAGTTTACTTTTCTTATAGTACCCTATTTTCTGATAAATATGAAATCATCATAATTCTTACTCACCACCAGGTTAATATTCCTCCCATCCTCATCTCGGAGGATATGTCCCTCTACTTAAAAAATCAGTTTCTCTTTCTCTTTTTAAAAATTGATATATAGGCCGGGCGCAGTGGCTTACACCTGTTATCCTAGCTCTGAGAGGCTGAGGCGGGTGGATTGCTCAAGGTCAGGAGTTCGATACCAGCCTGAGCAAGAGCGAGACCCCATCTCTACTAAAAATAGAAACAAATTAATTGGCCAACTAAAAAAAATATATAGAAAAAATTAGCCGGGCATGGTGGCACATGCCTGTAGTCCCAGCAACTCGGGAGGCTGAGGCAGAAGGATTGCTTAAACCCAGGAGTCTGAGGTTGCTGTGAGCTAGGCTGATGCCACAGTGCTCTAGTCCGAGCAACAGAGTAAGACACTGTCTCAAAAAAAAAAATCTAGGAAAAAAAATTGACATATAATCCATGTGCCATAAAATTCACCTTTTGAAAAGTATAAAATCCAATGGTTTTTAGTAGATTCACAAAGTTGTACAATAATCACCATCTAATTTTAGAATATTTTCATTACCCCAAAAAGAAGACCTGTGCCCATTAGCAGTCATTCCCCCAGTTCCCCCTCCCCTAAACTCCCAGCAACTATTAATCTACTTTTTATCTCTATAGATTTGCCTACTATGCACAATTCATATATATGGAATTATACAATATGTGGCCTTTTGTGTCTGGCTTCTTCTACTAAACATAGTGTTTACTATGTTCAGTCATGTTGTAGTAGGTATCAGTACTTCATTCCTTTTCATGGCTGAATTTACATTACATTGTGTGGATATACCATATTTTGTTCATCCATTCATCAGTTGACAGACATTTGTATTGTTCCACTTCGGTGCTGTTATGAATAATGCTGCTATGAAGTTTTTGCATGGATATATGTTTTCAACTCTCTTGGGTACAGATCTAGTAGTAGAGCTGCTGGGTCATATGGTAACTCTATGTTTAACTATTTAAGGAATTGCCTGTTTTCCAAAGCAGCTGCACCATTTTATATTTCCATCAGCAAAGCATGATGGTTCTAATTTCTCCACTCCTCCAACACTTGCTATTAATCAGTCTTTTTTATTCTAGCCATTTAGTGGGTATGAAGTAGTATTAATATCTCATTGTGATTTTGATTCATTTGTACTTCTCTAATAACTAATGATGTTGAGCATTTTTCCATGTGCTTACTGGCTATCTGTGTATCTTCTCTAGAGATATGTCTACTCAGATTCTTTACTCATTTTAAAAATTGGAGTATTTGTCTTTTTTATTATTGATTTGTAAGGATTCTTTATATATTCTAGAAACTAGAACCGTATCAGATTTATGGTTTATAAATATTTCTCCCATTCTCTGAGCTGTCTTTTTATGTTTTTGATAGTGTCCTTTGAAGCAAGAATGTTTTTAATTTTGAGGAAATCCAATTTATTTTTTCTTTGGTCTCTTGTGCTTTTGATGTCATATCTAAGAAACCACTGCCTAATCCAAGGTCATAAAGATTACATCTACATTTTCTTCTGTGAGTTTTTGATCCATTTTGAATTAATTTTTTGGATATAATGTGAGGTAAGATTCCAACTTCATTCTTTTGCATGTGGGTGTATAGTTGTCCCAGCACCATTTATTGAAAAGATATTCTTTCTCCCATAAAATTGCTTTGACATTCATGTACAAAATCAATAAACCACAGATGTATGAGTTTACTTCTGGACCCCAAATTCTATTCCATTGATCTATATGTCTATCCTCTGCCAGTACCCCCATGTTTTAATAACTATAGCTATAAAGTAGTAAGGTTTAAAATTGGAAAGTGTAAGTGTTCTAACTTTGTTCTTCTCTTTTAAGATTGTTTTGACTCTTCTGGGTCCCTCGCATTTCGCTGTGAATTTTAAGATAAGCTTGTCAATTTCTGCCAAACAAAGGCAGCTGGAATTTTGACAGTGATTGCAGTGAATCTGTAAACCAATTTGGAAATATTGACATCTTAACAATAGTAAGTCTTGTAATTCATGAACATGGGATGTCTGTACATTTATTTAGGTCTTCCTTAATTTCTTTCAATTATGCTTTATAGTTTTCAGTGTAGAAGTCTTATACTTTTTCTTTTTTGACATATTTGTAAATAGGCAACTATAGCACAATGTGATGCAATGAGGACATATATGTAAGAAATCTAATCTTGTGGGAGGGCAGGGAATGAAAAGTTTCTCAGAGATGGCATCTGACTTTTTGGGGATTTTTTTTTTTTTTTGAGACAGAGTCTCACTCTGTTGCCCGGGCTAGAGTGCCGTGGCATCAGTCTAGCTCACAGCAACCTCAAACTCCTAGGCTCCAGCAATCCTTCTGCCTCAGCCTCCCGAGTAGCTGGGACTACAGGCATGAGCTACCATGCCCAGCTAACTTTCTCTGTATATATATTTTTTAGTTGGCCAATTAATTACTTTCTATTTTTAGTAGAGATGGGGTCTCGCTCTTGCTCAGGCTGGTTTCGAACTCCTGACCTTGAGCAATCCACCTGCCTCAGCCTCCCAGAATGCTAGGATTACAGGTGTGAGCCACCGCGCCCGGCCCTGACCTTTGTCTTAAAGGATGAGTTAACCAAAAGTTGAACCAATTGAAGTTGTCCAATGTACAGTTGAATATATTGTATAGTTAAAATTTCAGAGAAAGGTGTGGCTTGAGATACAGATTCATGAATCCTCTTACCTCTTGGATTTCATCTGGGACAGTTGAGTCCATCAGTCTGAAAGAAATTCGAAGTGGACCTGCTTGCCTCCCAAGAATGCTGGTAGCTACCCCTCCCGCAAGTGCAAGAGCAAGGTGATTTGAAAGCAGCTTCAGGCACAGTTTGAGGAAATTGTGGTGTTCCCTGAAACCAAATAAACTGTGTGAATTTCAGAACATAAAAGTGCATGGCCACTTTTATTTGGCGATATTTTTTCTCTTTAAAAATTTTATCAATCAGAAAACTTGTTCTTAAAAAGAAAAAAAAAAAAAAATTTTATCAATCATGACCAATAGTAATTTTTAAAACACAATTTGTGAAATTAGGCATAACTTTTTCCTAGAGGTTATTAATAATAAGTATCTAAATGTAGCTCTTTTGTAGATTATTAAAGAAGTTACATAATTGGAGAATAAAGCAAACAAGAAAGAATAGTCAAACTCAAAACTAGTAATTAATACACATGTATGCACACACACCCCATATATATTAATGCTATATATACATATATAACATACCTTGATGAAGGGAAAGGAGTGGGGGAATCTCACTGTTTATTTATCACAGTATCTCTCAAGAAAGAGCGCAGGTGTGAGAAGGTACTCTCTTCAAGATCTACACAATAAGGTCGTGCCATGCAACAACTTGTCTAGAAGGACACATACAAAAATCATGAAACAAGCTTAAAATGAAATCTTCACACATGATCAAAAGAAAAATAAAATATATTAAAGCTGAAAGATTTCAACAAGATTTCAAAACAGAAGACATTTTTTTTTTTTTTTTTTTTTTGAGACAGAGTCTCGCTTTGTTGCCCAGGCTAGAGTGAGTGCCGTGGCATCAGCCTAGCTCACAGCAACCTCAAACTCCTGGGCTCAGTGATCCTTTTGCCTCAGCCCCCGGGTAGCTGGGACTACAGGCATGCGCCACCATGCCCGGCTAATTTTTTTATATATATATCAGTTGGCCAATTAATTTCTTTCTATTTATAGTAGAGACGGGGTCTCGCTCTTGCTCAGGCTGGTTTTGAACTCCTGACCTTGAGCAATCTGCCCGCCTCGGCCTCCCAAGAGCTAGGATTACAGGCGTGAGCCACAGCGCCCGGCCAGAAGACATTCTTGATTATGAAAATGATAAAACCCTTCACTTTAGCAACTGAGAAAAACCAAGAATTTGCTATCTTCAACAAGAAAACATACAACTACCTGTTTTGGAAGGTTTGGATATGCACTCACCTGAAGGCACAGAGCTGAGCCACATGATCTACTAAAGCCCTTTATGATTCTAAAGAGTCTAGAAAATATATTTCTCATATTAAGAAAAATATCCTGACTCTCTAGAGTGATATACTAAAATCTATTAAAAGAAAAACTACTGAAATCTCTTGTGACTATTTTGAAGTTCTTGGGACCCAACTATCTACATATGTAGTGCAAAGTTATAGATTTAATACTAAAAGCAAATTATTTATGCTCGACTTATTTATTTTTAGTTTTTGTTTTAAAGGGATGATTACCTAGAAACATTTTTAATTGGTTAGAATATCATCATAAACCTCCTCTAAATCAAAAATCTAGATTTGAAATATAATACATTCTAAGTTGTAAAATAGCACATGTGTAACCACAAATATCTCTAACAACCTAAATGTTCCATAAAATTCAGTCTCCTAACATTGACTAAAAATTACCTACCTGATTAGCCAAACACATATGGTTATCACTTTAGGAAAAGCTAAATTTTTCTGCAAAAAGTAATTTCTTTAACTTAAAAGTATGGCCATTGGGGCCGGGCGCAGTGGGTCACGCCTGTAAACCTAGCACTTTGGGAGGCCGAGGCAGGAGGATTGTTTGAGCTCAGGAGTTCGAGACCAGCCTGAGCAAGAGTTAGACCCTGTCTCTACTAAAAATAGAAAGTAATTAATTGGTCAACTAAAAATTATACAGAAAAAATTAGCCGGGCATGATGGCGCATGCCTATAGTCCCAGCTACTCGGGAGGCTGAGGCAGGAGGATTGCTTGAGCCCAGGAGTTCGAGGGTGCTGTGAGCTTGCTGACGCCAGGCACTCAGGTCAGGGCAACAAGAGTGAGACTCTGTCTCACAAAAAAAAAAAAGTATGGCCATTGGGGCCAGGTGCAGTGGCTCATGCCTGTAATCCCAGCACTTTGGGAAGCTGAGGCCAGAGAATCACTTGGGGTCAGGACTTCAAGACTAGCCAGGTCAACATATCAAGACACTGTCTCTATAAAAAAATTAGAGAAAATTAGCCACGTGTGTACCTACAGTCCCAGCTCTTCAGGAGGCTGAGGTAGGAAGACTGCTTGAGCCCAGAAGTTCAAGGCTACAGTGAGCTATGATCACACCACTGTACTCCAGCCTGGATGAGAGAGTAAGACTCTGTCTCTTAAAAATAATGAAAGTATGGACATTGTCTTTTTTAAAAAACCAACCAGATAAAGGGCACTGAGGTCAAACAACGTTAAATCAATAAAGCGTCGTTCTGATTTTAATTATTTTAATTGAATTCCTCTTGATATGCAGACATTTAATCTTTTAAAATCAGTATCTGGAGACAGAATTCAAAATGTTTAGAAGACACTTAAATTAAGAAAATGTCTTAAATACAAGGTGTAACATCTTGTTTCTAAAATACAACCTAAACATTCAAATCAAAAGAAATCTGTCATTTCTATGAGAGTAAAAAATTAATACTTGAAATGTTCAGAAAGGCATTTTATGAATAAAGCACAGTTATTTCTGTTTTTATTGGTGGTTTTGCTATTATTAAAACACAAAAATTTTTAAACATAGGCACTCTTACCTGTCCCTAGGAAGAGCAGTCCATGCCAGACTATGTGATGTTCCAGCTGAAATCTGCTGAATAGCTATACCATCTAAGCCACTCACTTTCTTTGGTTTAGTAATAGGACCTGTGGAGTTGCCTTGGCCACACTGCCCCATCGAATTATTGCCCCAGGCATAAACTTCATTATCTAAAAACAAAAATATAAAACTCAAAAGAAAAGCCAAATTTAAATGTAATATATTTATGGAAGATAAGTTAATACCATATCTTTAAAAACAAATTACTTTACCATGAGAAAGAGCCAAACAATGACTGTCTCCAATAGAAATATCAACTATTCTTGTGGCAGCCAGTTCTTCAATAAGCTTGGGTCTCAAAGCAGTAGCTTCTGAAGAACCACAACCTAGACAAGCTCCACAGCCCCAAGCATAGACCTGAAAAAAACATAAATACACTACACATAATTTCCTGAGATAATTAAGTTGTTGACTTAAATTGTTTAAGAATAAATAAAATCTGTGAAACAAGAGTGTGAGTGGAAAGTAACTTTATGATATCAAAATCATCATTTTGATCCATTTTAAAGACTGTCATAGTGATTTATTGGGCTGTTTTTAAACCCTCATTGTATAAGCAGACCAGCAGCTGAGCTGAAAAGAAAAATAATTGGACACAGAAAAAATGGAAAGATCTGAGAGACTATGCTAAAATTACAAATTGACTTGCATTCTGTTATATTTGCCCAATCTTAGCAGCTTTAGAAATACTGTCTTAAACTTTTCCTTTACATGTTTCTCACTCTACAGATGTGATCAAGACTATACCAAGGTGTGATCATATATAATGGATTATATAAATCACAAAACTGATGTTTATGATTTACTTTTAAAAATACCTCACCTAATTGTTATAACAATTTTAATCATCACTTACAAAGAGAGCCACATGAAGCAGTAGTCTAGAGGGACCCCAAGCTATGGTGAGTTGAATAATTATTTCTTATATATGACAATGTAATAATAATAAAGTACACAATAAATATAATGCACTTGAATCATCCCAAAACCATCCCCCTCACCCGTCCATGGAAAAACTGTCTTCCATGAAAACAGACCCTGGTGCCAAAAAGGCTGAGGACTACTGGTCTAGACAGTTCCCCTTGAATATCTTCAATTTTGACTAATTAATACCAAAATAACCGCTGACTGACTTAAGATGCTTGGGGAAAGGATTAGATGAAGAAAACAGAAAGACAAAAGGATGAATAACTACAATTTGGCAATCCAAAATCAACTTTATTTGGTTTAGTAATATCAAACTGAATGATTAATAATAAAGGTAGCAACCAACAAATGTAATGATTAATAGCCTGAGTCAGATTTGTTAGGGCAAGTTTCTCAAAGAATAAATTATATGATTCCAGCTTTTCTGCTCATCTGCCTTGTGAATTAGTTCAAAAACATTTTTATACCACTGCCTAGCACATAATGGGCTCCTGTATGTGAGAGAATAAGTGGACAGCTCACTTTTTCACTGTCATCACTGATGGATACAAAGGGGCAAATTATTATCAATCACCATACCTAGCCCTTCCCTATCACCAACAAATAGAAGAGTCAAAATATGCATGTAAAAGTTCAAAAGCTTATAAAGGGATTACAAAATTCTGACTATCCTAAACCTGACTAACCCTGTTTCTCAGAAATACCTAAGCCTCTCAGATTATTTTCCATATGGAAGTATTCTCTTTACCCTCTTTTTTGAACTTTCTTGCCTTCTTAATTCGTATCACTGGTTCCATCAAGATCTAGTTTTGCTTTCCCCCACTATCCATGATTTTTAGGAAAAGGATTAAGGAGTGCTAAGTGCTAAACGATTTTAGAAATGAAGCTTAATGCAAAGAACAGAAGGCTGAGGGAATGTTCATCTGGGTCACACAGGCTAGGTCAGAAAATCTGTCTCTTTCTCAGATACCCTACTTCATGCAGGAGAAAACATTTCATTTCAGTATGTTGCCTAAAAATGTATTTCTTTTAATTTTAAAATTCAAATACAAGTATTACTTTTTAGTTATCTAGTCCTCTGAAATACTCTTAACTTGGTTATCCTCATCCCTAGTCCTACCTGCCCTGTTGATGTCAAAGCAAGTGAAGACTGGCTCCCAGCACAAACTTTGCGAATGAACATTCCTTGTAAAGCTTCAATAACTTTCGGTTTATACACTCTGTTGGTATCACCATGGCCAAGTTTGCCTATAAAAACAAACACATCCAAGTTCAACAATTTATTTATTTTAAAGAACTATCCTTTTTGTTAGTAAAAAAATGTTGATAAAGGACTCTATCCTTTCCATCACTAACTGGACAAATATGGAAAACTCTAAGTGTTTGACAGCTGAAGAGGTTAACAAATAAACATTTTTGTTACAAGACGATAACAACCATCAAACAACTAACATCACTTTACAATTGACATGGAAAGTTATTTTTCTGTCTTTCTCTCCCTTTAATGACTATATTTCTAACTTCAAATTTGCTAACATAATATAGGTCCTATAAAAGAATGTATATGCATATAATTTTTTAAAACTTTAAAAAAGATTCCCTAGTCTACAAAATAGAGAAGTTAGCAAATCATTAAAAAGAAAAAGAAATGGCCAATAACATAAATCCAACCTCACTAGTAATCAAGACAATACAAATTAAATGATACATTTTCACTGTTGGAAGTATTTTTTAAATTATCTTAATTTTAATACCTAGTGTTGTTGAGGGACATGGGGAAGTAAACATTCACATTGCTGATAGAAGTGACTAATTAAAGTGGACAAAGATTTAACCATTCATTGTATTGTTGTTACTACTGAAAAAAACAGAAACCATCTAGATATACAACAATGAGAGACTGGTTTTATAAATTGTGTTACAGTCACATGAAAGAATACTATTAACCATTTAAAATCAATGATGTAGGCCGGCGCGGTGGCTCACGCCTGTAATCCTAGCACTGTGGGAGGCCGAGGCGGGCGGATCGCTAGAGGTCAGGGGTTCGAAACCAGCCTGAGCAAGAGCAAGACCCCATCTCTACTATAAATAGAAAGAAATTAATTGGCCAACTAATATATATAGAAAAAATTAGCCGGGCATGGTGGCGCATGCCTGTAGTCCCAGCTTCTCGGGAGGCTAAGGCAGGAGGATTGCTTGAGCCCAAGAGTTTGAGGTTGCTGTGAGCTAGGCTGACGCCATGGTACTCACTCTAGCCTGGGTGACAAAGCGAGACTCTGTCTCAAAAAAAAAAAAAAAGAAAGAAAAAAAAAGAATGATGTAGAGTCATGTTTGTTGACACAGAAAAAAATACTCATAAAATACTGTTAGACTAAAACATATATATGTTAAAACAGACATAAACATATATAAAACATATATGTAGATCTACTTTGATTTTAAAAGATATCTGTGTAGAAATATTTGTAAATCTTTGTATAAATGTATAATTATTTATTAATACATTTACCAAAGTGTTAACAATGTTTAAAACATTTGTAAAAGTACATTTTAATTTTTGCTTATCTGTATTTGAGTTTTTCTATATTAAACATGTATAACTGAAAAATAAATTTTAAGAAAATTCAAGAAAAAAGGCCAAAGCTATCCATAAATAATTTTTTACATACCATTGTCTCCTCCTCCAAAAGACCATACAGTTCTTCCATCCTTAGATAAAGCAATAGTATGTGAACTGCCACAAGAAACCTCTCCTACGTTGCTAATATCTTTTACTAATGTTGGAATGTTACGGCTATTACTGTCCCCATGACCTTGGATAAAACACACAAAACAACAAAGAAATAATGTTAACAATGTTAACAACATTTTTCTCTAGGTCATTACTTCACAAGTAGAATAAATATTACAATTTTATAATAGAACTGAGGTATTTTTTAAGTGCAATTCAGTATGAAAAACAGAATCATTTCTAGCATCTTCTCAGCCAATCTTCTAGGCTACTCCCAAACTGAGGCATCCAGTCATTTAAGTGAACCATTAGAACATTCTATTCATGCTCCTCTCATGGCACTTACCTTATATTGTCTTTTATCATGCTCATGTTGACTTGTTTTCACTACCCACTAGGTTATAAACTTCAAGATCATTATGGTATTATTCTTATCCCAGAAACTCTACAGTGCCTTGTCATGACAGGCACTCAGTAAATACCTGCTAGATTTAATTACATCTTAAATATCAGCATCAAATCTAGATATTATCTCCATAAAATTATCTTCCTCTGAGCTTAAAACTAGCAAAATAAGTAACAGTCATTGACCTATTAAATCTACTTTCACTGCTTCTCAATAACTATAACCATTTCTATTTTGTGAGAATAGCTTCAATTTTCAAAAAATCTTACCCAATCTTCCAAAGTCTCCTTCACCCCACGTATATAATTCACCATCTTCTGTGACAGCAGCACTATGTCTGTATCCAGCTGACACACAAACAACTACCTGCATTGCACACAAGTGAATCTGATGAGCACATAGATGTTAAAACACATAGTCCATATTTGATTCTACACATAGACTTTGGAGATACTAATATTCACAATTCATCCAAGAACTGCCATGTATTGTTGTGGAGGCTGTGCTCAGGACAAGGATGACTGGCTAAGAGGTCAAGTAAATGCTAAAATACAGCCTATTCTCTGCTTGCTAAACAAACCATCCAGAGAAAAAAACAACTTTTCTCAAGTCACACAAAGGTCTTATAAGAATTAGTAAGGGGCCTGAATACATTGGACTAATCACTTGCAAGAATATTATATTACCTATCAAGTCTACTCAAAAAGTTGGAGAGAGTTGAATACCCATGGAACATGGAACAATGACAAGTTTTAAAGTATATGATTAACATAAAACCTCTAGTCCTGGCTGATCAAGAAAAACTCATTATTAATAATATAATAAGGATAACTCTCAAAAAGATATTGACTATTACCAGTACAGAAAGACCTAAGCAATATATAAGCTTATATTAATTAAACTCCTGATGATACCTGTTTACCCTCAAGTAGCTATGCAACTGATAAGTAGAACCAGGGGTATATAGCAACATAATTTGGGGATCACTCAAATCTTTTAACACTGATCAAAATCACTGGCTATTGAAAAAACTATATACAGAAAAGAATGATTGCACTAATAGCTCCATGTCTTTTTAATCTCCATTGGCTTCTTCTCATTCATCTGTAGATAACAGGCAGCATCGAAGCTCTGCAGGTGGGCTCAGGTGAGAGCATGACAAAGGACAGTCAGGTATGTCTTCTCTAGTGGGCACGTGAGTCACACCCCGAGATTTGTAGTGGCCACCTCACTATCAGGGTCAGTAGTCAATTTTTCCTTGATTGGCGCCCAGGAGTAGTCTGGGTTTCAGATACCCTTTGCTCTGAGTTTTTCTAGAAGGGTCCCTAAAGTCAACTGCCTCACCAGGTACACCGACAAGGAGTAATTTCATCCAAACTCAAATGATCAATTGACCATGGTGGTGTTGGGAACAGTGGCCAAAAGTCAAGCCAGGGGTGTGATGTTGACGGGTGGCTGGGTCTCTTGGGCTCAGACCCTTTCTTGGCAGCAGGCAGCAGGGTGGGGGAGGTAACCAGCTGGGGCCACAGTTTTCCACTGACCTTGACAATGAGGTTGGGAGGGAAATAATCCTCCTGGGGGCAACCGGTCTCACAGAGAGAGAACCTTAGCTACACCTGTATGGTATAATTGCATTTGGCTCCTGGTAGAACTTCTCAATGAAAGAATCTGCTGCAATTGCTAGGGAGTGAGGTAAAAAGGTAAAGTGTATTTCCTCAAACTGCTGGCTAGAAGTGAATGCGAGGGTGGTGGGCCAGATGAGTTCCTTGGAGACTTCATAGAAAAGCAATGGTTTCATGGTGACAACAAGGTGCACAGACTAGGGCAGAGGAAGGGTGCATGTCCACCTCACACTTAAGGCCCAGCAGGGTGCCAGGGGCCAAAAGGGTCAGGGGAATGGGAGCTAGAGGATCAGGGGAGCCTATAGGAGAGATGCCAAAGGACAGGGATACAAAGATTTTTATAAAAGAAAGCTTTCATGGAAAGAATGCAATCTTAAAATAGTGCAAATGGTATAACTGCATATAAGTTTAGGAAAATACCTTTACCTCTTTAAAGAAAGATCAAATAGAAATAAAAAGAGAAAACCTAGATTCAGTTTCTAACAGTGCCAATTATTTGTGTGGAACCTTGGGCTTGCAATGCTTCATCATTCAGGTCTCTGCTAAGATGCCACCTCCCCCAAGAGCATCCTCTGACCTCATTATTTAATATCACACCCTGCCCAATTTAATCTTTATTACATTACTCAATTTTTTCTTTACTACTATCTGAAATTATTTTATATGTTTGCTAACTTATTTATTATCTCTATCCCAAAGATTAAAGCTCCAATAGAACAGAGTCTTTGCCTGTCATGTTCACTGCTATATGTCTAATGCCTAAAACACTGCCTGACACTTGGAAGTTGCTAAATAAATATTAGTTGAATGAATGATTCTCAGTTTCCTTATGTGCGAAATGGGGATAATAACTATCTCACAAGAATAAGAGTTATTCTTATAAGAACATAATACTTAAAATTTAATAGTGTATATGAAATTGTTCTATAAACTATAAAGCACACAAAAGAAAAAGCCAAAGGGTGGAAGGTGAGGGGCAACTTCAGAAAGAATGCATCAAAATCTCAAAGATATCATCAATTATAACACCACTGCATCTAATTATTTTTAAATCCAAAAAGAAAGTACATACCTTTCCCTGCAGAGGCCCCTGAATAAGCTTGGGATATTTCTGTGTTGAACTATTTCCATGTCCCAGTTTCCCATAATCACCGTCTCCCCAACTAAAGACTTCTCCTTCCGTTGTAAAAGCTAAAGTGTGACCATCAGATCCTTTAGATGATGAAACCTTTTTAATGGACCTGTGAGGCTCAAATGTTAATTTTTTCAAAGTAGACTGGTTATTAGAATCTCCAAGGCCCAGTCTCCCATAGCTGCCTTTACCACAGGCTCTCACAGAACCATCTGTAGAAATGACAAAAGTGCAATATTGTCCAGCTTCAATCTGTAAACAAAAACACAAAATTGTAAATATAAAATGCTTCTGTGACCATCAAAGTATAATATTTAAGGCTGGTTTTATCAAAGAGGCTCAAAGGAAGTCTATTAAAGCAGAATATGGCATGAATCTCCATAGAGATTAAGAAATAAATAGAAAATTAAGAGAACACTAATGGCCTTTTCATGAGAACTTCATCACTTAGCTCAAATTCATGTATATCTTATCTTTTCAGGTTATCCTCCAGGTTATGACTGAATGAAATAACAAAGTAAAATGTTTGCATCTCCTCTTATAAATGGGGGAATAGCAAGAAATAAAATTGCCCTACTACTTCCTTGGGGTCCATTATAGCAAGAACCATACAAAATATATCCTAAACCCACTTAAAATATACATTTTAATGAAAATAATAATAAAATAGAAAGTTCTAGCTTGGCTATAAATGTAAAAAATGTGATCATAAGAAGAAAATGAACCCTGGCTAGCCAGAAAATAAACCTCCTCTTGTGTGATTGCAAAAAAAAAAAAGAAGAAGAAGAAAATGAAATATCAATCTGGCAAAGAGAAAATTCCAATTTTTATTTAGTCTTATTTGCCATTTGTGTTGAATATAATGGTAAAGTCTATTGTCATTCATAATGCTTTCTAAAAATCCAGGTGTCAATTTAGTTTTTTGAGACTTGGAAATGCTGTCAGGGATACGGAGGACTAAAAATAAACTGATGCAGTATGGTATAGAAACAATATAGATAAGAAACAATGATCAAGAATTTTCACTCATTTTAAAAATACTCTTAACATTATTTAAAGCAAATAAGCATGAACATATACCCTATTGTCTACCAGTTTGTAAGGTATACAGAGAACTTACGGTCTGAGCATCAGAGAAACTAGGAGCCAGTTTGGGTTGCAATATTTTCTCCTGTGTACCTTCTACCAACTGATGGCTGCTGTTGCTACCCCAAACATAAACCTCACAGGTTTCCGAGACAATGGGAGCATCACCAGTCTGAATGCTATCTGGGCTAGCACATGTTCTTGAGTAATCAGAAGCCATTCTGCAAACCTATTAAAATTTAAAAATATACAATAAGTTTTAGCCTAGACATTTTTCATATATATATATTTTTTTCTCTGAAATTACTGTTGCCTTTCCTTCTTATACTCTCAACTGCTCAAATAACCTAAGGATACCACAGCTAGTCTTAAACACAAATAGGTAGACTATTTACTCATGCAGAATAAACCACTAAAATATACTAATAAAGGTGGCAAAAATAGGAAGAGGAGACACAGAATCAAGCCTTTTTTAAGTAAAAATTTTATTATCGCACACAATAGCATTATAGAAAAACAAAGCTTAAAAAAAGGTAGGAAAAAAATCACCACTGACAATCTTATCACTCAAATACCATAATGTTTTCTATTTTATATATGCTCTTCCAGAATTTTTCACATACATGTTCTTTAACACAATAATCACAGTGGGTACATAAAAGTGGCAAATGATTGCCGGGCGCGGTGGCTCACGCCTGTAATCCTAGCTCTCTGGGAGGCCGAGGCGGGCGGATTGCTCGAGGTCAGGAGTTCGAAACCAGCCTGAGCAAGAGCGAGACCCCGTCTCTACTATAAATAGAAATAAATTAATTGGCCAACTAATATATATATACAAAAAATTAGCCAGGCATGTTGGCAAATGCCTGTAGTCCCAGCTACTTGGGAGGTTGAGGCAGGAGGATTGCTTGAGCCAGGAGATTGAGGTTGCTGTGAGCTAGGCTGACGCCATGGCACTCACTCTAGCCTGGGCAACAAAGCGAGACTCTGCTCTCAAAAAAAAAAAAAAAAAAAAGTGGCAAATGATTAAAAAGAGTCATGCCAAATTTTCTGTTTCTACCTAGTCTTCATCATTGAACAGATAATATTCCATGTAGTACAAAAATCACAATTTACTTAACCACTTTCCTTTTTTTCCCTTGAGATGGGATCCCATTATGTTGCTCAGCCTGGACTCAAACTCCTAGGCTCATGCAGTCTTCTCCCTCAACCTCCTGAGTAGCTGGGACTACAGGTGCACACTACTGTGCCCAGCTTCACTTCCCCTTAATAGGATATTTAGACTCTTTCTATTTATTTATTATATAAGTAATTTTTAAGAATATACTTCTTACTATATTTTTTATTTACTTATTAGAGAACCTCAGAAATGGGACTCTATATCCAAAAAAGGATAATTAATCTATGATTTCAGAAATATACATCAAATTGCTTTCCAAAATGGTGCTATAATATTATGTCACCAGCAACATACAAAAAGAAGGCTGTCTTAAAAACAGTGAAAAAACAGTGAAGGCTCAGAGAATTCAATATATATATATGAATCATGGCTTATTTACCATTTCTGTTGAATGTAATGGTAAAGTCTGTTGCCTTTCATAGAGCTTTTTAAAAATCTAGGCTGCCTGTTGAAAGCACAAGACCCAGGGTGGCCACCCCAGTTGCCCTAACCAAGGGACAGGTCTATATGAGAGTATCAGTCTCACTGCATCCATATCAATAACGGGTATCATGCTTTTAAATTTTTCTGCAAACTTAAGTGGGAAAAAAGGAGGATGCCATTATTTTAATTTCATATTTTCTTACTATTAGCAAAGCTAAAGTTTTTCCATCTATTTCTTTACCACATTTTGTGAAGTGAACTAACTTTGGCCCACCTATTTATTAGGACTTAAAGGATTTTTTTATTGACTTGTATGAACTCAACACAATAAAGATATTAACTCTGGCTACGGCTATTGTCCATTTGTCTTCCCTTTAGTTTCTTTTGTTGAATCAAGCAAAACAATAAAAGAATCTCAAAAAGCCGGCAGGGGATGGTGGCTTATGCCTGTAATCCTAGCACTTTGGGAGGCTAAGGCTGGAGGATCACTTGAGGCCAAGAGTTTGTGACCAGCTTAGCAAGAGCAAGACCTCATCTTTACCAAAAAAAAAAAAAAAATGGAAAAATTAGGTGGGGGTGGTGGCAAACACCTGTAGTCCCGGCTACTCAGGAGACTGAGGCAGGAGAATCGCTTGAACCCACGAGTTTGAGGTTGCAATGAGCTATGATGATGCCACTGCACTCTAACTAGGGTGATAGAATGAGACCCTGTCTCAAAAAGAAAAAAAAATCTTAAAAGTCAACATATTAGTTGCCAGCACATTAAATGGGAGGAGATAGAGTCACTTTAGTCAGATCTTTAAATAATATGAAAACAACAGAACAATATGTGTGCTAGACAAACATTTTCCAGTGAACATGAGGACAGTTCTGAGGTTATACAAAATGTGTGTAAATGAAAGATTCTAGTCCCTAATAAAAGATCTGAATTTTATTTTTAAGAGGCCGGGTCTTGCTATGTTGCACAGGCTGGACTTGAACTCTTGGGCTACAGGGATCCTTCTTCCTCAGACTCCTGAGTACATCTGAAATTTTGTTGGAGACAAAAGGAAGATACTAGAACCAAGAGGGTCAGAATTGTTCATCTAAAGGTCTAGTACTATAATATGGCTTATGAGAGAAATCATAGCTCACTCCCAACCGCTTCCCCAAAAAACAAGGAGGAAGAAAAAAAAATCTCCCAGGGCTTAGAAATGCTTTTAAAAAAAAAAAAAAAAAAGAAAAGAAACAAAACTGGGGGGTGGATAGGATTCTGTGAAGACAAGAAGATGATAGTAACAGCAGCAACATAATTTTCTAAACACTCCAAATCACTAGAAAATGAAACTACAAACCCATACTTAACATTCATAACAAAGTAGGTGACAAGGTAGCCTCTCAAATCCCAAAATATAAGTGGGTGGGGACAAACCAGCACCAACCTCAAAACCTACATGGTCATGGCATCTGTGCAGGAGGAAACAACGGAGTGTCTGACAGACCTCAGAACAGGAGAAGCCCAAAACAGACTATCAAGTACTCATTGGCAAGAACAATGAGCCAATCTAAGAAAAGCAGTTGCAATGGGGAAGGGTTTTGCTCTTTCTGATAGCAAGTAGGTTCAAGGAGTCCATGATGAGAAGTTCTAGAAAAGCTAGAGTAATCTAGCTCTTGCAAATGCACACTCTTGAAATTGACCAACCAGGGCTCCCTTCCAGGACAAAGCCCCACAGTGAGAAAAAACTACCAGGAGTGGAATTAAAATTAAATACAAAAGGGACAACAGAGAGGAAAGATGGAGAATACCAAGATAAAAATTGTGAAGGGGAACAAGCTGGGAAACCACTATATATTTTTTTAATATCACACAAAAAAACAACACGGCGAGGAGTCTAAGAAGTTAGAAAAGCTATTTTAAATGCCATACCATTCTAAAAATTCAGAAAAACTAATTTCACATAAAAATAAGCAACAGAAAAGTACTGAGGTCAAATCCCATTTGAAGTTATCATAGAAAAGAAAGGGAAAAGGAGAATAACATCCCTACAATAAAAGCATGCCAGAAGGAAATTGCCCATATGACAGATCAAACTGTAATCTATTTCAAAACAAACTAAAAGGAATTAAGAAAATTAAATAAGACATGAAAGAAAAACACAGATTTGAATTAGAAACCCGCAGAATGAGGTAACATAACTTAAGAAAGATTAAAAATAAAAGAAAAAAATCATTTCTGAAATGAAGACTAAACTAGAAGAAATCCAAGAGTAAATAAATATTGTAGATAAAGCCCTAAAAAGTAACAACACCTGAAAACAAAGACATTTTTAGAAATAAAAAAATACAAAAAATATTCAAGAAAAAGTGACAAACACTAAAGTTAGGCAAAGATCCAAAATACGTCTAATATAATAGAAGTTCCTAAAGAATAGGATCAAATGAAAGGAGTAAAAATAATACTAGAAACTATAATTTAGGAACATTTTCCTGAAATAAAAAAGATTTGAAACTACATATTGAATTCTCACATCTCTAAGAATATCAACCAAGAATGAATAATATCAAGATGTATTATAGTAAAATTACTGATCTTTAAAGAAAACAAATCCTTTGGGCTTCTTAGCAAAAGGTGCATATGACTCATACAGGAAAGAAAATCAGGTTACCTTCAGACTTTGACAGCAACATTTTATGCCAGAAGAACCCAGAGTAACATACTTAAGATATACAACAAAAGAAAATGTGAACAAAAGACCTTATATTCTCAAAAGTGACTTTCAAGAATAACAAGTACAGCAATTAAAAACTCAGAGAATCTTGTTTCAATGAGACTTTACTGAAAAATCTACTAGAGAATGAGTGTGAGACAATCAAAAAGAATAGAAAGACATTGATACCAAGACTAGTAGGTAGTGAACATTAAATATATAGTTACTTATAGAACTAATACTAAATGAGAGTTAAAAGGCAGAAAGTATATAATGACTATATGCTTTTGTAGATATAATACAATTATTAAAAAAGAGAGCATACACAAAAAAAAATGTTTTCGGTAAACATACAGCAGCAGTATGTCTTGTTATTTTAGGACTGCTATTTGTCTGTGTATGTAACATGTGATTAAAACAAATTAGCAATAATGAGATATTCTAATACTATCATCCCTGTATCTCCTTGTGAATCAACAGTCTCAGCATAGAAGAAAGAAGATACAAATAAATGTGATACAGAAAAGGTTAAGTAAAAATTCTATAATTCTGAATTTGAAAGTATCAGTATGAATTCATGAGGTTTTTTAGGCTTTAAATACACACACACTTCCTAGTTTTGTCTGCTATAAAAGCCTAGAAGAGTTAGATCATCTCAGTAACCATAAGCATCTCTAGCATTCTGATTGCAGTCTTGAAATATCATTTTCCAACAAAAGAAATCAGGCCTTTTTTGGAGAAATAGCTAGCCGATTCCATATCTGGAGCAAGAAATGAACAAGATCAACCAGAAACAATGTGATATATCAGATAGAAAGGAAGCTACCAAAGATTAATAGGCTTATGTCAAGAGAATTTAGGAACCATCCTGAAGAGACTACAACCAAAGATGAAACAATATGACCTTCACTACAGATAATTCAGTGGACTGAAACTCAAATAGGTTTAAATCTGTGGGCTCATAACGGTATGTTTTAAATGAAGTTAATTAGTCAAATTTTGAGGACAATGAGGCATTAAAGTGAATAAAAAGCAAGTAGGGAGAATAAAGCATTTATTCTGCCTTTCCTATATTAACTGTAGAAGAGTCATATAGGGAAGTCAATAAGGGAAGTATCTCTTCATAAAAACATTCCAACTAAATGAAAAAGAAATGAGAGAACATCACCATTTTGCAACCAACCACAAAAAAATTATAGATCTAGTCATTAAGCATCACAAAGACAGACAACCAGATGGAAGAATACAACTCCATGTATATAGTCTTGACAAAGGACTCAAACCTGAGACTAATCAAGCCTCTGGATCCAGGTGCCAATTTACAGGAATTACAGAGGACAAAGAAAGATATTGAACTGTACTTTGAATAATCAAACAGCAAAACCCAGACTATGGGTAATTCTACAGCCTAAAAAGCCTAGGTTCATAATAAATACATGGAAGGAAAAAAAATATAGGGGTAACCTATAGATAAAGAAATTTAAAAGATTTTTACTTTTTTTAAATAGGCAAGACTGAACTATAGTGTCTAAGAATATACATCTGAATGACACATTAGAAAGAAATGCAAGGAAGTGATTACCCTAAAAGTCAGAATAGTGGTTACTTTGGGGAGGCAAAAAGGGGTTTCAATCAGAACATGAAAGGGTTTCTTCAGTAGCTGGTAAAACCCTATTTCTTCACCTGGATACATATTAAAAGAATATTTATTTTATTATAATTCATTAAGCCATACATTTGCTTGTATGTCTTTATCTGTTATACATAATTTAAAATGTTTTCCAGTTAAAGTTACCAGCACATGATACATAATTCAAAATAAATAAAAGTGTGTATACACTGTAATGTATGTCTCCAAGGCCCCACCCAGTTCTAGACACCCCCGTACCACTCTCTAGAGACAACCACTGGTGACACTTTCTTGTATAGCCTTTCCAGAGATTGAATGGATTATTTTCAAGGGATTAATACATATCATAGCATTTTAAGACAAAGTCATTTTTAATACAAAGGCCATGATTATTACGTACCTCTTCAAAGAGACATAATGCTGCCTCATAGAGCGAGCACAAGCCATCAGATGTTCTAGTTGGTTCTCTCCACTGACTCCGATCAGCAGATGAACCCTATAATTAAAACATTGTAGTATATAGTGTTAGAAGGAGAGAGACACATGTGAATTAAAATCACTTAAATGGTTTACAAAAACAACATCTATTTGAAGAATTGTTTATATGGTTATGTGCATTGAGAACAAATCTTAACATTAGGTCATGAAATCAACTTTTACATTGAAGTGTTAGAGAAGACCCGGCTATTGAGTCAAATGATAAATTAAGCACCAACCAATCCCTCACTAATTATCTTATTAAAAAGTGATTTATTCCAAGGGTCACAGGGATCCAGAAACAGTCAAGGAGGTGGAATTTTGCCAGTTACATACTCTTTGGGAGACCAATATCCAGTAAAATGTAGTCCCAGGAAATACTCTACTCCCCAGGTCCTGCATTGCCCACCTGCCCCCTCAAGCATACAGACAAGCAGAAAATAGCCAGCTTGTCATGAGTCTGAACAAAGTAGCAGAAAATCTGTCCCTCCCTTAGTTTCAGCACAACTAAGGTCCCAAGAAATCAGTTCATGTATCTGTCTACACTAGCAACAAAGCATCTTTTTCCTAGCACAGCTAAGGAATCACAGCATCTCTCTGGGACTTAATGCCTACTTCCACAGTCAGACCCAATAAAAGAAATCATTACCCCATTAAAAAATGATAAATCAGAAAGTGAACTCAATATCCATTGCCCCTCAAATTTCCTTATCCTTAAATCTTTAGATGACACACATCACATCTTTCTATGATTTATCAATCCTGTAACTGAATTTTTTGTTGGTGTCTTTTTATTTCAAAGGATACTATTTATAAAAATATTTACATTCTAGATAATGACTTGGCAAATACACCATAGAAAATTATATCCCCTACTGCGGAAGAAAGGTTGACCTAAATACCCCACAAGATCCCATCCAACTCTAAGATGCTATGATTTTATTAAATCAAACCATTTTAATGAACTTGATTCCTAAGTAATAAAAGAAATGAATATTTTGGACCAAATCCCAAATGACCACATCTTCAAACAAAATGCCCCCAGTTTTTTAAACGTAGCTTTTATAATAATAAAGCTTAGTTAAAATTTTTTAAGTTTCAAAATATGCTAAAGGTTTGCAGGTTTTTTAAAAATTGTACTATATATTCATCTGCCCTCTTTCTATTCCACCAAGTAAATAAAACAATCATGAAATTTACATCAACTATATTAGGGGAAAATGCACAATAAAAACTACTTTTAAATAAAAACAATAAAAATTCAGCTACCTTCTGATTTTCTAACAACACCCAGGTGATGCCACTGCTGCTGTCTGAGGCTCACACTTTGAATAGTAAGGCTTTAGGGTCCAGACTTGTAGATATAGAATCATACTAAAAGCTGAGTGTTAATAAATAACTAGTCCCTATACTTACAATGTGTTGGTTGCTATACCAGCAAATACTTTGGCCTAACTTCTCCAAATTTCATAATTGGCTGTGAAGCATTTCTGGGAAAAACGGAATTATAATCTATGACTCCATTATTTAAAGGCCACCTCTAGTGATCACCAAACCAAAAGGAGATGACAAGTAGGCTACTTTACCTTTCTAGGAGCTGGCACCAGGACCATCATGATCCTTTTTTTATGCTTTTCTACAGTATGGAAGAAAATGTTGAAAACAGAATAGAGTTTTCAATGAAAGACTTGGATTTAAATCTAGGCTCCACCATTTACTGACTCTGTGACAGGGGTTAAGTTACCTCATCTTGAGACAGAAATAATGCCCATAACAGTCAAGGCTGTTGGGAAGATAAATTGTGTAAAATATGCTCAGCACATTTCTTAAACATAGTAAGATCTCAAAACTGGTAACAATGATTGTTATTTTGCACTGTGTACATAGAAAAAAAAATACCGGGAGCCTTTAATAAATTCTTGCTAAATTTAAGAATATCAAACCAATAAAACATCCTGCAAACAATGTCTGTAATAACTGTTCTTGATTTCTTCCCAAAAGTCGATAGTTAAGGATGAGACTGATACAGCTTTTTCTTTCGTTGCCCTGGCTAGAGTGCAGTGGTATCAGCCCAGCTCACAGCAACCTCAAACTCCTGGGCTCAAGCGATTCTCTTCTTGCCCCAGCCTCCCAAGTAGCTGGGACTACAGGCGCTGGCCACCACGCCCAGCTAAGCTTTTCTATTTTTAGTAGAGACGGGGTCTCACTCTTGCTCAAGGTAGTCTCGAACTCCTAAATTCAAGGGATCCTCCCACCTCAGCCTCCCAAAGTGCAGGATTACAGATGTGAGCCACCATACCTGGCCCACTCCAGATTTTTGAGTAAAGACACCTCTAAAATCCATTCTACACAGAATTCTTAGTATGTTTTGTAAACATACTATTTTTACTAAGTAAATAATATTTATACTGCATAATATAAAATATTAAATAAAAACAGGACTAATGCTGGGCATTTTTAAAGAAACTAAATTTTGGAATATATAGCCCAATTAAATGTATAACTGCATAAACTGTTAAATATGATAGGAAGTTCAATGATACAAAAATAAAGTGGAAACTAAAATAACATAAATTTGTAGTTTCATAGGTCTTCATTCAGTTACCCTCAGGTATCTACCATATGCAAAATAATATACCTTTTCCCTGCCCTGACATTTGTCTGTTTAAGACATTCAAATAAGGACATAAGACTGGATAGAGTACATTTCCTTTTCTTCTGGCTGTTTTTACTCAAAATTGCTTCAATGACTCCCCATTGCTTATGGGATCAAGTCTCAAAGCCCAATAGCATTGGATACAGAGCCCTGCCTCAACTGCAACCTCATCTCATCTCATCCCATTCCACTCTATACATCCAGGGGCTTCTTCTCCCACACTTCAGTCACTTCGTGAATTTTGGTCTTCTCATCTGAGAACTGCTCCAGCTCCCCCAACTCACATACCTCACGTTTGCAGGCAAACTTCTACTTTTCAACTAACTTCATTTTCTGCCTCTTCCACTCCAGCCCTCTTTCTTGTGCCCCATCACCTCCTCCCAGTGCAGACCTCTACTATACAGCCCATTATCACCAATTCAAATGTCTGTGCATCCCTCTTTCATTACACTGTGGGCTGCCTAAAAACGTATTCATCTTTTTAACCCAGTACCCAACAGTATCTGGTACGCTGTGTTCAGTAAACACCTAGTGGTATCAAAGGTCAATGGCATTTATATGGTTGTTTATTTTTTAGACTTGAAGATGTACAATTGTATCTCTACTTTTATTTAAATGTAAATTAATGAGTATCTTGAGGTCCCACTCAAACACAATTATATGCATGTGGGTAGCAGAGATGAAGAATCACAAAAGTATTATAAATATAATTTATAGACTTAAGTTTTGTTAGGCTTTGTGCCAGGTACTCAGTCGATGGCTAGGTGTCTCTCCCTCTAACTTCTAGCTTGGAGATAAGTTCTGTCCCAGTTATTCAGGGGTAGAGAGACTTAACACAGGGAAGATTAGGTCAAGTTAGGGTCTACTATACCAGGAGAAGCTCTATATATTTCCTGAGTTTTCAAATAACAGTAAAGAGTAAGAAATACTGGTTCTAGAGATCAAAAGCATCAGTCTCTATCACTTACTGTGCAAGGGGAATAACAAATATAAAATTCAATTAAATAAACATTCCTTTCTCCTAAAATGAATCTGAGATTTAATTAAAATTCAGTTGAATAATAGGACTGAGGTGACTTTGAGAGAGCCAAACTGAAACAAACACACAAGATTCTTCCCCAAAATAGATTCAGAATTCTGAGGAAAACAGTTTAGTTTTCTGGGCCCCCCTTGTCCCAAGAGCTATATTTTAGGGTATGGCCTTGGAGGGGAAGGAAGGAGGCACCTCCTGACTAGGTGTATTTGGTATTTTGTCTGGGAATAAGAGGCCAAGTGGAGAGAAAACAGGAAATCCAGCAATAAAACAAATGTATTATATTTTAGATCTACTTTAAGGTAGGCCTTCATGGAAAAAATTGATCAATTTAACATAAGCAGGGTACAAACTGCATATAGTAGTGATTTTAAAAAATGGGCTTTGCAGATAGACTCAGAGCTGTAAAAAATTACTTAACATAGTACCTGGCCAATAAAGTACTTAAATCAGGAGTACATATTACATTTCCAGCTCCTTTGTTCAACAGATGTGTAAATTCAAGCTAACTACCACAGTTGCTTCATCTTTAAGATAAGGGTAAATAATATCTGTGTCACAGATTAACATGATAATTGAATGAGATAGTACATATAAAGCACCTGGTAGGTAGTAGGCACTCAATAGAGTTTAGTTCTCTTCCTCCCTTACTCCAGGTATTGGGGAGTAGGAAATGAAAGAAGTCAAAAAAGGAATGAGATGGGATATTATAGATTAATTAAAGACTAAAACACATTATGGGCTGGGCACTGTAGCTCACACCTATAATCCCAGCACTTTTAGAGGGTGAGGCAGGAGGATCACTTGAGGCCAGGAGTTAGAGACCAGCCTAAGTAACATAGTGAGACCCTCTCTCTACAAAAAATAGAAAAACTAGTTGGGCATGGTGGCAAGCACCCACAGTCCCAGCTATTCAGGAGGCTGAAGTAGGAGGATCTTTGAGCCCAAGAGTTTGAGGTTGCTATGAGCTATGATGATGACACTGCACTCTAGCCTCAGCAACAGAGCGAGACCCTGTCTCAAAAAAAAAAAAAAAAAAAAAAATTCAACTATCAGCCAATTAGTAAATATGCATACACACAAGTCTAGACAATGGAGGCTAACCAGATACTGAGAAAAGAAATCTAGTTTCCTGGGGATAAGGCCTTACAGGGTAAGGTAGGGAAGAGGCCTCTGACTCAAAGTATCTAGCATTTTGATCAGGAAGTAAATACATCACGGACAAATAATCATACAACTATATTATGCAATAAATAATATCTTTTTGTAACAAAGGTAATGCAAAACAAGTAGCCCAGAAATCAAGAAATTAAGTGACTTCTCACAGAAATATTAACATGTAATCATGGATATATTATTTTAGGCCATTAAATGACATCACAAACTTGAAAGCAATGTAGAGTAAGAAAACGTTACCAAAAGTATTAAGAAAACAAAATTAGAAAAACGTGCAAGTAAGAGGATTTTTTTTTTTTTAATACTAAATAAGAAAACACAAAGGCCTAATTGCCTCCCACAACTGTTCCTTAAAGCCTTTCCTATTTACATCATTGCATCCCTGGACTGCAGGTTCTCACCTTGGGTGAAGATCATAGGACACAATGTGTCAACATTCCATATACCAAATGAAGTACTGCATGCTTTTCCTTTTATTTAACATTAAGAAATTCACATTTTCATAAATCTTATGACCTAAAATCTCTAAGTACTTAGCTACAATAATATTGTAAAAAAATGACCCAATATTTACCATTCAGTTCCAATTCACCAATGCAAAATGTAAACTAGGTAAAAACTTAAATGCCCCTAGTTTGAAAACAAATTTAACATAATTTTTTTTAATGAAGCATTTCTGTCCAAAACCTTTCCACTAATTTGGGGGGAAAAAGACTTGAAAAATACACACATAATTTACAAGTGGCATATTTAGTTATTTTAACTAAATAAATTTGTTAATTGATATTTGGTAACAAAGGACACCAAAATGACTGATCAATGTAACCTAACTGAAATTAAGTCAGCTTATAAGTATTTGAGCCTTAATATTCTATATTTGCATTTTAACATTCAAATTTTTATTCTTGATTTTCACAAAGGTATTACATTTCAGTTTTATAAATTCTTGAAAATGATCATACTATGCTACATTTTATTATTTATTCTTTAACATGGTACCCAAGGTTATGATAGTCAAATAATCTCTTCTGACACACACTCTTCACAGATCATTGCTTAGCTTATCACTTCCATTCGTCCAGGTTGCTACTCTAATATCAACGCAAAGGTGTCCTTTTCTGACCACATTGACTAAAATAGCACAGCTTCCACCTCCCATCTTTTGTCCAGAGCCTATCACTCTTTATGCCCCCATCACTCTCTATTCCCTTTCTCTCCCTTATTTTTCTTGTTAGAACTTCTCACTACCTGAAATTACATATTCATTGTCTGATTTCCCTACTAGGCTGTTAGCACCATGGAGGCAGAAACTACCCCCAGGACCCAGACTAATACTTGGCATATGCTAAATGCTTAATAAAAATTGGAAAGGATGAAAATAGAGATATTTTTCAAAAGATCTCCACACTCACCAGCCAAAATCCCTCACATGAGTTTACTAAAACACAAAGAAATTAGATGAATTTCCCAAGTTCATGTAAGAAGCCATAAAACTAAAGCTACAAACCCGACTCCTCATCAATGGTCTTAATACTGTACCAGCTAGTCTGTCCCCATATATCAACATATACAGAAGTTTCTTCACTCAAAGTATGCAAAATATTTAATTAATAATCACCTAAAGATTATTGATTTGTAATTAAATACAAAATATTTAATTAATAATCACCTAAAGAAGTCTTAAGTCATTCACTATTATCACCAATTGGTTAAAAGTTGGGTTGACTTCCAAAAACTGTTATGAATTTGAAAGTTAAGATTTATAGTACGTACCAAAGAACGCCTCATCTGCATTAATATAGTCATAAAACAGTCAAAGCTGATCATTCCTTCCTGGCTTGACAGTAGTTTGCTTTTCTCCATGGTATTTACAACCGCTGAAGCCCCCAACGCCATTTCTATCCATTCAAGAAGATACCGCAAAGAACCTCGCTGAGCTGCTAAGCCAAGCAGCAACTCAGAAGCTAATCTACGACCTAAAGTGTCTGCCCCAGAATTAGGAATAGTTACTCCTTTAAGAAATGTTGTTACTTGTGATAAGCAGTCCAAGCCCATAGGAGGAATCTTGCTTTCATTTGCTAAAGATAATGGTGGCAAAGAGCTCACAACTTCAATTGCAGTATGAATAACGTCGTTGCAAAGACTGAGACCAGGTCCTGACACAGGCATCATCCAACTTTGTCTTAGAAGTGCAAATAATAAACTCAGACCAGTTCGAACACCCATTTCTATAAGTGCATCAGTGCTTGATCGGGGACGTTCACTAACAGAATGGACATCTGCTGAACCAGAGCTGCTCTCCGGAGAATGCTGCTGCTGTTTCACTTTGCCTTTGTCATGATATTTATTAGAAAGTGCATAAAAGACACGTTGGAGTACAAGCAGTCGTTTTCGAAGTGCCCCAGCAAATGGAGAATCTGAACATACCATCTTTGCTAGTGCTAGCTGGCTACTAAGAAGGGCATCCAAATAGTGGTCCTGCTCATCACTTGAAAGAGACTCACGTTCAAAGTCTGGCAACTGTGGTCCTTTGAGGCATAAAACTTGTTGAGGCAAAGGTATCACTTCCTTATTGCTAACCAGTTTAGAATACAGAATAGCAACTCCCTCTCTTGTAGCAATAGATTCACTGTCCTCTGTAATCCAGGAGCTATTCAGGTGCTCAAGCCATTTCAGTTTCACTGGTGGAACCATAGTTGCCATGTTGATTTATCCTTCAGCCATTAGTTCTGTAAAGTCAAAAGAGAAAAGTCAAAAACATATATGAATGATTCATGAAATATTTCTAAACTTCTGTCTTTCATTACAATTAGTAATTTCAAACTAGTGAAATGCAAATGAAGTCTGGAGCTTAGTTCATTGCACTGTACCAAAGTCAGTATTATAGTTTTGATAAGTGTACCATAGCTATCTAAGATGTTAACATTAAGGAATAATGGGGTGAAATGTATACAGAAGCTCTGTATCATCTTTGCAACTTTTCTGTAAATCTAAAATCCCAAAATAAAACGTCAATTTTAAAAAGTAGTGATTTCTTCAGATGTACTTTTTTCCCTTCAAGTTCTGATCCCACTGTCAGTATAACAGTAGGTTCTATACGCTGATGACTCCCAAACCTGTATCTCCAACCCAGACCTTTTCCCTAAATTCCAAACTCATATGTACAATTGCCCACTTGGCCTCTCCACATGAGTATCTAATAGGCATCTCAAACTCAACATAGCTAAAACTAAACTTCTAATCCACCACTACCACCACCACCCCCCAATGCTGTTCCTCTTGTAGATTTCCTTATCCCAATAAATGGCAATTTTATCCTTCTAGATTCTTGGGCCAAAAACCTTAGGAGTGATAATTGATTCCCCTCTCTCTTATACTCCAAATGCAATTAGTGAGCTCTATTTTCAAAATATGTCCAGAACCCAACCATTTATCCCTCTCCATTGCTACTACCCTGATCCAAGCCATCATCTCATGGGTCATTAAAGGAGCCTCTTTATTGGTCTCCCTGCCTTCAACCTTTATCCCACAAAGTCTATTCCAACAAAGCAAGCAGAGCTTTTAAAATTTAAGTCAGATATTTCTTCTAAGTATGATAAAGTAGCTTGGGACGGATCAATGCTCTGGCCAAGAATAACTAGAAAAAACAGATAATTTTTTAAAAATCTGCTTAAAGGAAGCAACCAAGGGAAGATGAATCAGGATTTCAGGAAGGAGGAAAGTACAGATATAAGATATTGCAAAAAAAGAGGGTACCCCGTCCCATCTCTGGGGAATGACTTATTTAGGTGGCAGTGTACACCTTTTGACATAAGTCAGAGGTGTTACTAGGAACACTAGTTACCTCTGGGGGAGGTAACTGGGTTATTGGGATTGGAGTAGGGAAGATATTTAATTTTCACTGCATAAGCTTTTGAATTTCATATATGCACATGTATTACCTATGCAAATTTTTTTGGTTTTGGGGGTTTTTTTTGAGACAGAGTCTCACTCTAGCTCACAGCAACCTGAAACTCCTGGGCTCAAGAGATCCTCCTACCTCAGCCTCCCGAGTAGCTGGGACTAGGCATGTACCATCATGCTGGGCTAATTTTTTTTTCTATATATTTTTAGTTGGCCAATTAATTTGTTTCTATTTTTAGTAGAGATGGGGTCTCACTCTTGCTCAGGCTGATTTTGAACTCCTGACCTCGAGCAATCCACCCACCTCGGCCTCCCAGAGTGCTAAGATTACAGGTGTGAGCCACTGCAGCTAGCCTTACCTACACAAATTTTTAAAAACCACTTTTAAATTAAAAAAGAAATCTAAAACAAGGCAAAAAGCCAAATTTTTTGGAAACCAACTCTTTTCTAAATAGTTTCTTAAGCAAAGAGAGGAGGAAAAAGGAATTGCACATTATCTAGAAAATTATATAAAAGCATTATATAGCAAAATCAACAGAATGTAGCCAAACCTAACTCAAAGAAATATACAAAGACCTAAATATTTCATTTTTAGGTAAGAATGAATTAATAATTCAATTCAAAATTATAAAACAAACCAAGAAAGAATAAAAATAATAGAAATTGGTGAACTAGAAAAATCCAACAACAATACAATTGATATCTAAATCTCAGAGAGATGTTTCTTTGGTGGAAAAAAATGAAAACCATCAGCTAACCTAATTAAGAAAAAACATAAAGATATTCAATATTATGAATAAGAAATGGAAAGACAGCTGTGGAAAACAGTTTGGGGGTTTCTCACAAAGTTAAAAATAGAGTTACCACATGGCCAGTAATTCTACTCCTAGATCTATAACCAAGAGAAAAGCAAAACATATGTTCATATGAAAACCTGTACACGAACATACATAGAAGCATTACTCACAATAGCCAAAAAATGGAAATAACCCAAATGTCCATCAATAAATACATGAATAAACAAAATGTGGTATTATTTAGTAGAATATTATTCAGCCATAATAAGGGATGAAATACTGATACATGTTACAACACAACTGAGCCTTGTAAACATGCTAATTGAAGCCAGACATAAAAGGCCACATATTGTATGAATTCTATTCATATGAAATGTCTAGAATTGCCAAATGCATAGACACAGAAAGTAGATTAGTGGTTGCCAGGGGTTGGAGAAGAGAGGAGAACAGGGAGGAATTGCTTAATGAGTAAGGGGTTTTACTTTGGAACAATGACAATGTTTTGGAAATAGAGAGGGGGGTTGTACAATACTGTGAAAGTACCAAAGGCCATTGAATTGCAATCTTTAAAATGGTTAATTATATAATGTGAATTTCAGCCCAATAAATTAAATTTAATAAAAAAAGAATATGGCAGATAGTGCTCCCCCAGAACGAACTTATGGTATGTTACCAAAAGAAGAGAGAATCAATGGTGGACAAATACATAAAAAAAAAATGTTCTGTACATTGAGAATAACTTAAATGGGTCAAAAAACATTATAGAGCCAGTCACAGTCACACATGCCTGTAACTCCAACTACTTAAGAAGCTAAGGTATGGCCAGGCGCGGTGGCTCATGCCTGTAATCCCAGCAATCTGGGAGGCCGAGGCGGGCGGATTGCTCGAGGTCAGGAGTTTAAAACTAGCCTAAACAAGAGCGAGACCCCGTCTCTACCATAAATAGAAAGAAATTAATTGGCCAACTGATATATACAGAAAAAATTAGCCGGGCATGGTGGCGCATGCCTGTAGTCCCAGCTACTCGGGAGGCTGAGGCAGTAGGATTGCTTGATGCTTGAGCCCAGGAGTTTGAGGTTGCTGTGAGTTAGACTGACACCATGGTACTCACTTTAGCCTGGACAACAAAGTGAGACTCTGTCTCAAAAAAAAAAAAAAAAGAAGCTAAGGCAAGAGGATCAGCCCAGGAATTTGAGGTTGTAGTACACTATGATCACCACTGTACTCCAGTCTGAGCAGCATAGCAAGACACCATCTCTTAAAAAAAAAAAAGTATAGGATATCATGTCAGGTTCATCAAACTCTGAATTCAAAGGAAAGAAAGTTCAAGTGTGTTTAAAGAATAGAAAGTGGATCAGAATAGAAAGTGGATCAAAATAGCTAGAAAACATAAAGATGTTCACAAAAAATTATAGGAAAATGAAGATTCTGTTCAGAATGTGGAAAAAATTTTAATGATCCAATTAGTTAGGTTTTACTTCTATAATCTATGAGAAACCAAAATTGATGATTTGGGGAGCAAAACTGATATCTGCACCTAGCACAGTATCTGGTACCTTATATTATGCCCTCAATGAAGAATGCATTTCAAGGAAATTGATTTGATAGTTAATTATTATAAATTTGAGAGCTGGGCTAATATCATTAGGATACTACTAAAATAAATCAGTAATGAGAATCAAAGAACCTAAAAGCAGCAACAAAATCAAGCTCTGATTGTTTTAAGGAAGAATTCTAACCATACCTTCAAGAAACAGACAATTCCTAAGCTACCTTAAAAGTCTTAGGACATAGAGGAAAGAATCGCAGCCCTTTTTGAATAGTCAATAAAGTAACAATACCAAAACTCAACAAAGCACAAAAAGCACATAGTATTACACTTGTAATACTATGACGTAAAGATTGTAAAAATCCACAGTTAAAAACATCAGCAAGCAAAATGAAAAAGTACATTAAAAGGTTAACACACCAGATGGGAACAGGGCTCATACCAAGATATAATGATAGCTCAACCTAAGCAAACGTATTATTATTTACAAAATCCATGTTATTTTGAGAAATGTTAAAAAGGCACTTGATAAAAATACAACGTTCATTCCTAATAAAAACTCCAATAAAGCAGAAATAAAATTTTCTTTTGTTAAAATGATTTAAAATTATGTATCACAAAACAAAAACCATTAGAAGTCTTGGCTCTATTAATAGACAATAAGAGAGCCAATTTTTCACCACTATTATTGATAATAAAATTGAACAGCAAAAGTTATATATTCTCTGCCAGGCACGGTGGCTCATGCCTGTAATCCTAGCACTCTGAGAGGCTGAGGCAGGCAGATTGCTCAAGGTCAGGAGTTCGAGGCCAGCCTGAGCAAGAGTGAGACCCCATCTCTACTAAGAATAGAAAGAAATTAATTTACCAGATAGAAATATATAGGAAAAATTAAGCAGGCATAGTGGTACATGCCTGTAGGCCCAGCTACTCAGGAGGCTGAGGCAGAAGGATTGCTAGAGCCCAGGAGTTTAAGGTTGTTGTCAGCTAGGCTGATGACATAGCACTCTAGCTGGGGCAACAGAGAGAGACACTGTTTCAAAAAAAAAGAAAGGTTATATAGTCTAGAAATTTTTCTATTTACAGGTAATACTGAATAACTAGAAAACTCATCAGAAGAATCTAGCTAAATATTAGAAATAAGCACAGTAAGGTAGCAGCAGAATAAATAAAAATCAAAACTCAAAAGTATTTTTAAGCAACTACAATAACCAGGAATTATGTATAAAGCAAAATAAAATTCCATTTAGAGTTGCAACAAAGAACATAAAATTCCTAGGAATAACGTGAACAAGAAATGTGCATAAATTTTACTTTAAAATAACTGTAAAATCCTACTAGAGAACAAAGAGACTCTTAAAAAATGGAGAGCCAAGCAATGCTCTTGTTGAGAAGAATCACATTTTAGGGAGTCAATTCTTCAGTTACTATATAAAACCAACTGAATATCAACCAAAAATCAATCTAGACTTGATAAAAT